CCAAGCCCCTACACGTTATGTGCACCAGGATCTATTGGTGCCAACAAACCCTCACATATTATGTGCCCCAGCAGCCTCCTCTGCTTCTCTGCTGGGGCATATAATTTTTTAACAAATGGATACACCAGCTGGTGTCAATAAGGACGCCAATGTTATACGCAGCAGCAATACGATTTTTACTGTTCCCAAGCGTTTTAGACACATGTAGCCTAATGCGCATTGCCAGGGCGCTATTAGGGACCCCCCCCCCCCCCCCCCCCCTCGGGGGGGCGGGGGGGGGGGGGGGGGTCCCTAATGCGCATTGCCAGGGCGCTATTAGGGACCCCCCCCCCCCCCCCCCACGGGGGGGGGGGGGGGGGGGGGGGGGGATGTCGAGCAACTCTGAGATCACAGAAGTAGTGCTGGCCCAAGCCACCGCCGCTATGTTCATCTAGAGGGAGGCCACGAGTGTGTCCGAATTCCCAATCGTATCGCTACGAATCGGTCTGAATGACGAAGTGGAGGGAGTGGTCAGCAGGCGGGGCAACCAGCAGCCATCCCTCGCGAAAGGGCGTCGCGGTTCGCGCTCGTCCGTGGGGGTAGTCGCGAACCGCGACCGACCTACATCGACAACGTAAGTTTGTCGCGGTTCGTGACAACCCCCGCGGACGAGCGCGAATCGCGACATCCTTTCGCGAGGGATGGCTGCTGGTTGCCCCGCCTGCTGACCACTCCCTCCCATCCGTCATTCCGTCCGATTCGTAGTGGTCATCAGCATTTATTTTTGTGTTAAATATTTGGTACTAGCTGTGCTAGTGCATTTGTGCATTTGTGCATTTGTGCAAGTGTGTGTTTGTGAGTTTGTGGGTGTGTGAAATGATGACGTTATCGCTGCTCTGGTGAGTGTACAAATTCTATAGTGTATTCTTGTGGGCCCACTGTGTTTGTGTTTTGTTGCGCTGTGTATAGTGCTAAATTTGGATTTTGGCCTTGCGTCTGGAACTGGTGTTCCTGCAGTGTTTACTGCTATCATTTGTGTTTGAGCGGTTATGCTCTATATTGTCCTTTGTTCAGATTGCCTTTGAAGGTTTGTACATTTTGAGTCTCTCTGTAGAGTTGTTACACTGTTAAAATTCAGAGGCACCTCGAGCTCAAATAAAAATTGTTTACCTTTGCATTTAAATCAAAACTATTTTCTATTTTGCAACATCCAAATTAATCAACAAATTCTCAGAGTGTCTGAACCCAGAGCAACGTTTTCTTTCAACTCTAACCATCAGCAAAGGGGATTAGTTACAGCAAGATTAGGAAATCCTTTAGTCAAAGCCTCCAATGACGCAGTCACAACTTCTTTCTTTTTTGAGATAATGAGGCAATATCCTGCAATGCGACCAACACCAAAAGAGTCGACAACTGAGAATACAAGTGGCATTTCATTATCGCACAACTTGTAAGTAGTATCCATCACTAAAACTTCCGGAAACTTCTCTAATGACATCCGCATGTCCAAAGTTTGAAAGAAAACATTTTGGATCATGTATAACTGCGGGTCATGAGACAGCACAACAATGGAAGCAGGGTCATCATCTTTCAAACTTTGAAGTTGGTCAAGCAGTGCGTCGACAGGAGTTTTCTTCCCAGTTCCATCCTGTTTTGCTCTCCATCTATCCCTACGTGAAAAATCATAATGATTCATTTGTTATCCAGTTTCCTGCAGGAATGTTTTCTGAAATAATCAACAAGTGTGCATGTAATTATCTGAATAACAAGTTTACATACCTCATGTTTTGCAGGTCCTGCGAAGTCACTTAATGGCCCTTGGAGATGACTAAACCCTTGAGCACATGGGTCTTGGTCTCTTTATCAAGGAGATCAAAGACCTCAGCCTGTGTTTCCTCAGTGGGTTGGCCGGTACTCAGGATACTGCTTTAGTTTTTCTTTTGTCTTGTGTGTGGTTGCTATGCGCATCCAAAATTTCAGTGCAATGAAACACTGCTGGTCCACCAGATAATTAACAAATCTGGCCTTGCAGCACACTTTAAACTGCTAATGAAACAAAGATATCAACAAGAAGGTACACCAAATCCAGCAGTGGCAAAGTTTCCAATGAGTCTAGTTCGGTCTAGTTGCAAATACGAGAATGCAATAATTAGCCATACCTCTGGTTTGGACGTTCTTCGGTGCTCTCCATGTGAGGATGGCAGCGAGCTGACCCATTGTGTTTGCACTTCATGGTGACCTTCTTCCATCTCAAACTTTCTGGCATACATTTCTTTTGGTCTACTTGTTGCTTATTGTGAGTCTGCGCTAACTTTGAGTTACCCACAACATATGGTACACCTTGTTCGGCTGCATGTGCCTTCTTGGCATCCAAGAACTCTTTCAGGGTTTTAAATCTCTTCCCGTGGGAAATGGCAGGCATGATTACTGTAAGACGAAACGGACAAATATGACGAAGGTAACTCTATCTAACCAACATTGATTTTACTGTAAAACCCCGACTTGGTACGAATATCTATCCAAATTCGTCTTTGAGTGCAAAAAAGTAAACATTTAAAACAGGCATTCCGTCTTACCAAGAAAGCGAAACTTGTCGGTCAATCTGAAATACTAACGAAAGTTCAGACTGCATGCGAGTATTCACGAGAGAGATGTGGACGAAGTGGGCGAGGTAGTTACGGTGTGACGGCTTTCGCGCGCTTAACTCTTAACGGAACAAAAGACGACGAGGATGTGTAATTTTCTTGAAGTACCAGGCGCGCCTGTTTCAAACTCTCAGTGGTGATAAACGTCCAAAGCAAAACACATGTTGGGTGTCAAGGAGCCCGGTGGTGGGGGTCTTAGAATGTTAAAACAATTTTTGGCCAAGCCCATTACTCCACCGACCGAAAAAGTTTCATTCTGTTTGTGTGTTTGTTTGTTTGTCTGTCCGCACGATAACTCGAGAATGGATTGAGATAGCGATCTGGGAATTGCAGGGTCGTTTTGTTTCAGAAAAAGACAGATCGAGTTCGAAGATGAGCATTCTAGCTTAAAAATTGACCTTTAAAAAAATCAAAAACCACACTCACAAAAATGTTTTCTTGCTGCAGCCGAAATCTACTTGAGCCAAGAATATTTTATTCTTGTCACTCCACGTCGCAAGAATTCGTATTCTTGGCCTAAGAATAATTTTTTCTTGTGTCAATCTTCCATAAAAATCTTACTTTAAGAATTATTTTCTTACCTCAAGAATATCTGGTCTTGGCTGTAATAAGTTAAATAGTGCCCCCGGAGACAGTCGTTAACTCTCTCTCACAGTGGGTTATGGCGGTAGTGTTAGCCGGTTCGATTCTCCTTAATGCAACTTACGCCTTTAATTGGGACTGCCGGGATTCGAACCCTGATCGTGTCAACTTAGCGCTAAAGCGTAAGCAGTAACCGTTTGAGCTATGAAGCCACATGCGTGACCTTGTCCCCAGCGCTGCCTTTGTACCTCAGGTAGCCCGGTCCTCTCGCGCGCTCCACCCTAATCCGCCCGTCCCCCCTCCACCCACGCCCGCCCAGCCTAGTTACATGTTTCTTTCCGCACAAGCATATTGTTTTCTTGGGCTAAGCAGAATGTTTCAAGAATATTTTCTTCTTGTGGGAAGAAAACCATTTTTCTTCGAACAAGAAAAATCGCCTTCACTCGAGAAAATTATTCTCATCCCAAGTAAAATTGAGTCAAGAATAATTTTGGGATTAGGTCAAGAAAACATTTTTGTGAGTGCATGGGTCGCAAAATGATTTTTTTTTTTTCAAACATTATTTTATGGATTCCTAGGGGGTTACTCGTCAAAATAGAACCCCTGGGACAAAAATTTCGTCCGTTTTGCTCTATCTCGTACTGTTTGTGTGCTATGGGGCATTTCTTGGCGAAAAGAGGATGAAAATGACCAAATGGTCTATGAAATCGTATAAAAAGGCTTCGTGCCAGAATTGTAAAGGGAGTAATACTTAAACCACACCTGACGGGTCGAACCACACCCTCTTTTGGGCTTAAGGGTCTCTAGATTATCTAGTATCACTAAAACGTTGACTTTTACAATACAATCTGTCAAAATTCGAACTTTTAATGAAAACCGTTACCGAACAGCAGAAGTTGCATGTAGAGTAATAAGACCCCGACAAATGGTTTGAGTATGTCAAATTTTGGGCCCGGAAGGCCTTGTTCCCCTATACACACTCCTTAACTCGTCTCGGGTGTCAGCGCCGCAGGCCTAGCGATATGTGCGCCAGGCGCGTCGCAGCGTAACAGTGTTTCGTGAGATATCGCGAAGCCTGTTACGCGAGACGTGGTCTGGCATACATATAGGTAGTACAAAACCGAGACGGCACCCTTTCCGCTTTTGAAGGAGAAGAGAACGATTGATTATTTGTTGTCTAAACGCGTGGAAACAGTAAAAATCATTTTGCTAGTGGCATCCTTGGCATCCTTAATGACACCAGCTGATGTATCCATTTGTTAAAAAAATATATGCCCCAGCAGAGGAGCAGAGGCGGCTGCTGGGGCATATAATGTGTGAGGGCTTGTTGGCACCAATAGATCCTGGTGCACATAACGTGTAGGGGCTTGGAGACACCAGTAGGAGCTGGTGCGAATAATACCCCATGGCTAGTTTACACCAGCGCTGGTGTATATAATATTATCCTTTGTGGATGTCTCAAACTTTGTGGTGTACAGTGATGGAGAACATTATTTATTCACGGTGTAGCTATGTGCATCCCAGAATCCCAGCCAAAATTCTCGACTAATGCGACACGACAAGGCTGCATCGTACCGGTCGCCCAAACGAGAAGTTTGGCTGGGACGACTATACAGAACACTGTGAGTACAGGATGAGTACACTCTGAGTACAGATGAGTACACAAAGTAGTACGTTGTCCTTGTACACATGAGAACATTAGTGATTCACCCATTGATTTTCGCACAATTTCGTGCGAATCGAAATTGATGCGTATCCTGTTCACATTATCAGATATCTCCTCGTGACGCCTCAACATTGTCCAATCTCCACTGAAAATCACTATTTGTTACGTTCGTGGGCGTGTGTAACATCGGTTATACAAAACTTTTTACGTAACAGTTTTATACAAATTACTTGCAGTAACAGGTGTTACACAAATACTTTGTCTAACAAAATTATTTTTGTTGATTCTAACTATAGAGCTATGCGTCCTGAGCATAATTGGCAGTGTAACAGCTGTTACACTTTTTAGTTTATGCAACATTTGTTACGTATACCACTTTGTGTAACAACGGTAACGTAAAATTATGAATGTAACAACTGTTATACACGTACACATACGTGTTGTTACATAGAGTAACTTTCAGTGATCCCAGTGACACCTCGATATTGTCTCGGTTGAGGCATCACTGGGAGATCGGATAATGTTGGGGCGTCACGGGGAGATAAGACAACGTTAAAAGACCCATCTAAATGTATTCGTTATTTTGTGAAACGTTTGCACCAAAAACTACAAATAAATTTAGATTGCGCATTTTTAATCAAGTGCAGAAAAACAGAGAGCAGTTTTGGTTCCACATTTATCAGTCTGTACCTTCCCATCGGCGCCTCTGTAGTGCACGCCCGTGGCCAATCCCCTTTCAATTTGAATCTTAGTGGCCGTAGCATACGTCCGCACTTGAAGATTCGAGCGGCGCCTCGCAGGCTCAAGGTAACTCCTTAAAATAATTTAAAAAGTAAATAACACAGCGCGTTTACATATTACGAGTAAATTTGTACCCGAGGGGTGTGGAACTGAACACAATATGTGTACATCGGGAAAAACAATCAGAAACAATCATGAAACAATCACACACAATCACACACAATCGTGAACAATCACACACAATCATGAAACAATCACACACAATCACGAAACAATCACACAAAATCACGAAACAACCACACACAATCACGAAACAATCACACACAATCAGGTCATAATCTGACACAATAATGCAAAATATGTCACAATATTTATCCAACCATATGAAACAATCAGAGACAATCGCACACAATCAGAGACAATCACACACAATCAGAGACAATCAGAAACAATCACACACAATCGTACACAATCGGAAGAAATCACACACAATCGGACACAATCATGACACAATTTTTAGCCCGCCCTTCTGCTTTGAAAAAGCTATCCAGCGGGCTTATGCAAA